TTTTTTTTTTTTTTTTTTTTTTTTTGGTAAAGAAAGAGGGAGAAAGGGGAGAGGCCAGTTAGCCTCCAACACAGCAGAATTAAAATCAAAGAACTGGTGGACACCCCCGTATGCTTGAGAACAGGGCTACATTGGCGAGCCAATGTCAACCGCTCGCTGTTCTGCAGCAAGAGCCTTTGGGATGGGATTGAACTGCCGGGGATCCCTGCCGCCCTCCCCTCCCGCCTGCATGGAGGAGAACTGACCTCTGAGGAAAGAGAGGATACGGGCTGGCCCCCTGCGCTCGTTTTGGACACCCGGTTAGGTATCGGACAGTACTCTCTCAGTTAAGTTTTTGTTCAGGCCTGATAACAGGAAATCGGAGCCTCGCAAACTGAAGCAAAGGAAAAATCAAGACAGCAGAAGGGCAAAAATTTGGAGTGGGTGGGGAAAATAAAAAATTAGAGAGAAAAAAAAAAACAGAAGAAAAGAAAAATACCCAAAACAACAWTAAAAATATTTTGTAAGGGGGTATTAAAACTTTTATACGTTTCAGTGCAGGGAGGTGAAGGACACAGACACAAACACACACGCACACACGAGACTGGGGTCCAAATGTGAAATAAGTGAGGCAAGACACAAAAAGGAAATCAAAAGAATAAATATAAAGAAGAAATTGAATTACTGAAGACATGCACCTCGATTTTACGGCCCTCTACCACGGTGCCGTGTAATTTCTCCCTGGCCCTGTCTGCATCAGCACTATTCTCGAAAGTTACGAACCCGAATCCCTGCATGCAGCGGGAGAAGGGGGGAAAACATGCACATCGTTATATATTGAAATACTGATCTCGAGGTAAACAGAGAAAAAATATCACAGTATGAAATCGACATCAGCACAACTCAGCAATAACCTCCTAGAGTCACATTGTCGGTTCATGCATGTTTCATAAATGAAAGAAATCAAATTCAATAAAATAAAGGAGCTGTAATCATAATAAGAAAAACAAGAAGAGTAMTTAAAAAAAAAGAAAACATAAAAGCAATTGAGGCCAGACCAAAAAAGAAGTACAAAGTTACTCGAGACAATTTTGGTTTGCTTTCCAACACTAAGCCCTGCTCCAGCACAGGGAAGCGGGTGAAGCCCAAAGGGGGCTTCTCTCCTGTGGCTGCTAATTCACACATGCTCTTGCAGGACTCCCCCCAGCCGCCCTCCCGCCCCACAGTACAGGACGTTAATGCTGAGGAGCGCTCGGGTCTCTTGAGAGAGCGCTCCGAGAGCGAGCGGCGCTGCGACGTCGGGCACGGCATCGGCAGCTCTGCGGAGCTTTGGGCAAACCAAACACTCAACCTTGCTTTTCCCACCTGCAAAACGGAGACAATAACAATTACCTACCTGAGGGAAGGGTGGAGTGGAAGGGCTGTTTGCAAAGCAGCGCTTGAAAGCTCTTCAGGGCACAGCTCATGCCTACGCCTATGCCTGTAACTTGCCTAGCAATGCGTTAGGCCCTGAGAGTACAGGCAGGGCATCTAGGTGGCATCGAGATATAAACATTGCATACAATGAAGATTTAAAAGTAGCAGGCATTATTCTAGTCAAAATCACCCACAATGTTTCAGAATTTTTCTATCTACCAGTATCATGTTGGGCTTGTGGGCAAATCTGACCACCGAAACGCTGACCGAAACCATCTACTACTATCACCACCCTCATACCTTGCTACCAGATTTTGTTTGAGGGGGCAAACTCTGCGTCACGGGTGGTGAAAATCTCTGCCTCAGGATGGGACTTGAGCAAAAACGACTGAATCCTGAGCTGGGACAACTGCAAAAGCCCAAGGACTATTACGTGCTCCTCTAGGAGTGAGGCTCACCRGGCCCATGGAGCCAGGCGCAACATTCCCGCCCCACACGGGCCCATCACCGCTAACCCATGGAGCCCTTTAACTGGGCTGGGCCCGGGCTCATGGACACGGACAYGACGGCACAGAGTGTCATGGGAACCAAGCGCCATGGCTAAACGGGCCAGGAGTTGAGCTATCCATAAGCGTATCTGACTAGGGAAAACTGTGGTGAGGTATTCTTCACGCTGCTGGACAGCAGGGACAAGCAAAATGATGTCGCTGCAGTCTCTCCTTTTTAACTTGTCTAATTTTTAAAAAGGTRTCTGAAGAACAGGAGTAACTTGTTCCTGCAGCTTGATATAAATTGCTTATCCATGTAAYGTACGGACAGTAATCTCTGCCGGCACTAATACCCTCGGGAGCAGGAAGAACGAAGCTTGCATTCGATGCGATGGCCACTCTTGCTATTAAGGAGAGAGCTGGGTAACGTGAGTGACATAAAGCTGTGCCTGGTCACCAAAACGGCATGCCAGCCTCGCAGCCCCTTCCTGCAGCTCGGCGTCAGTACATGGACTGAACGGGAAAAAAACAGCACTTGGATTTCTAAGCGGTGTTAGCAGCAAGACACAAGCCAGCCATCATTCCTTAGGTGCTCTTTAAAGGCTTCTGCAATGGGAATCTTAGAAAGCCCAAGCCATTTGACACGTGCATGCTGGTCTTCATCATCCACAGCGAGATATCCAGCGCAAAAATGTTACACGTTTGTGAAGGGCAGCTTTTTATTATTTCATGAACAGCAATAATAAAAGAACATAACTTGGATTTGTAATGTTGAAATCAATGAGAGGTCTCCTACAGGCTCCACCCCAGTAATCTAAGGCTTCAGATAATTTAATGTTTCTAGCTATTAAAAAAAAAAAAAGCTATATAAACAAACAGTGCCTTTTTCCAGCATAAAAGTTTTCCATTGAAATGATTTAAAATTTGGGCTGCAACAGAGCAGGGCTTACAAGTCAGCCCCAATGTACTCAACTCTTGAATGTGTTGTAGACAATTAGGATGGGAGGTCAGAGCAAAGCTGATATGGGGGCATCTATGGGATCAGCTTTAGAGAACTCAGCTTTTAGAGGAAAAGGAGACTGAGAAACAGAGCAGAATGTCTCCCTCTGTCCTATGTAACGAGTTAAGAAAAAAGCATCTTGAAAATTCTGCGGGGAAAGGGAGGTAGATACTCCCAAAGGAAGTTGTCCATTTCCCCTGTTCTCTCTTTACGCTTTTTGTTTGTTTGTTTTGTTGTTCTAGAAGATCCTTTGAAGACTGAATGGAATTTATGTCTTCTGCGATGCCGTGAACTGAAAAGCTGGAGAATAGAGGCAAGGAATTTTTTGAACATGATCTGCGCAGAATGGAAGCAAACTAACTAAAACTATTTTAATTCACATTTATGGCTAACCAGGGAAGTCTGTATGGGATTTTTAAAATAAAAATCAAGTGGCTTCAAATTGATTTTGAATTTTTTATATTTTTAGCAAATTATATCAAGCCAGGGTTCAATCCACATGCAGACTATCTCAAAGTAATAAACAATGTGAATTAAAACAGAATTAATCATTTTGATTCTGAACACCGTAACTCATTAACCAGGATTCCTGGCTTATTGACAGATTGCTCCTTTGCTTGTACAGCTCTGCTGAAAATCATTTTGTGTCAATACTGAATTAACATTTCACAGTTGGCTACGGTACAGCTGGTATTTGTCCCCTTGGTTAAAGTCTTCTTAATACACCTCTTAGACTTCCAAATTTTCCTCAGGAAAAAGGAGGTGAGCCAAGCTTGACACTTCCGTTATTTCTAAGTTTCAAAATGAGCAATTATACACGTGGGAGAAAAAGAATATTTCATTTAATTCCTTCTCACAGATGACCTGCAAAGAACAGGGATTAATTGCACCTAAATACATATACAACCAGCAATTCTTGTTTCTACCTCCCAAGGTTGCCTTGCCCTTGAAAAGGAGCAGCAGATTAACAGCAGTGGCCACTTTAGATTTATAGCAGCCACTGGCCGGCCCCACAGAGGTAGCAAACCATGGAGGCGGAGGAAGGGAAGATACCATCCTGCGTCAAAGAAAATTTAGGGTTTCTAAAATCCCGATTACACAAATAACGGGGCTTTAGTAAGTCTATTATGGTAACAAGGCTGAATTTTTCAACAGTTTCCTTCCACCAACAACTGCCAGGGACTTATTTCAAGCATCAGTTCAAGCCTCAAAGTACCCAGCAAGCACTAAATATTCCCAGAGGTCTCTAGAACTTGAGAGTAATTTGTAGTGCCAGACTAACCCCTTTTTCACCCAAAGCTTTATTCAAAGGGCCTGAAGAGACCGAGTAACTGTCACCCTTTTAGTCTGGCCTCAGACTCTGCAATAAATAACAAGCAACATGATGAGCAGTGTAAAAAAATAAAATAAATGTATATATATATAATATTTGAATGCTTCCATCTCTGAAGAATGAGAAAGAAAATTTACCATGTGACCGTAAAGGGAGAAATCAAAAGCAGACGGTTCTCCTGGGTGTGGCCAGAACACAGAAATTAAACAACAACAAAAAAAAAAAGAAAACAACAAAAAAAAAGAAAATAAAACAAAAAAAATACAGAAAATAAAAACAAAGGAAACGAAACAGCGCCCCTTGAAATCCATGCATTGTTAAACCCTTCGTTTGTCACTGAGTTTACAACAGTCACCTCAGTAGCAGCAGCTTTGTCTTGTACCACTAGAACAGGCAGCCATCGAAGGGGCCTTCCCTTCATCTGCTGCCAATACCAATTGCTTAAAAAGCCGGGATTTTTGGTTTTCCCATCTTATCTCCATACACAGATCGTTTTTTTTTTTTTTTTTTTTTTTTTTTTTTAGGAGACTTCAAAAGACGGCCAAGGAAACGAGGCGCTTTTGGCTGCCCGTTCCCAAGGCTTTTGGAGGCAGCAGGAGAGCTCCAGCTGGAATCCACCTGAGATGAGCAGCCCTGGGTGGACGGGCAGAGGCAGCAGAAGCCCCGCACGCCGCAAAGCGGGAGGGCAGCCAAGGCCAAGCGAAGCTGCCTTTGTTCCTGCAGCGCTCCCAGCTCCTCCTCCGGCTYGCGCGTTGCGCCTGGCCCCGCGCGCGCAGCCCCGTGAGCCAGAGCAGCCCRGAAAAATAATCTAAAAAAAAAAAAAGCTCTGGTTTTTAAAGCAGCCGGGTTATTTTTAAGCTGGGTCACTTCCCCAGTCCAGGTTGGTCACTTCCCCAGTCCAACGGCTCTGGCGAAACCGAGGGAGGCAGAGGGCAGGAATGAATGGTGGGAACGAGGCCAACGGGCGGCTGAGCGAGAACTTCTGGCTTCAAAGAGCAGCTCCAGCCCGTTCACACGAGAGGCGTCGCGGCCCCACGTTTCCCGAGTCCTGCCCTCCCTCTCCTCCCCTTGATCCAGCAGCGGAGTCCGTGTGTCCCTCCTACCACGYGCTGAGGGAGCAGGTTCGTGGCTACACCTCCCTACCCCCACTACCAGAAAAACTAGGGAGAGGGAGAGCCAACCCAAAGGCAATCTTCCCACAAAGCAGTCCTAAAACCTGAAATGAGGGCCTAGAAGGTCAGGTCACTAACCTCCTGCAACAAAACTCACCAGTAGCAGCAACAAAATTTTCTTCAGAAACACCACAAATGTATCCTGCAAGGGCCTCTAGTCCCTTGATGGATATTTTCCTCTGGATTTCTCCCTGCAGCTCAGTCCAGGACACTTCGTGGGGACCTCAGAGGCCATCCTCTTTCAARGACCCTGGTTTCCCAAGCAGAAGGCAGTGGGAAACATAAGCTTAGACCACCCTGCAACTATGAGCTTGCCATCTGCTGCAAAAATTACCTCTTGCTATTGAAAAAACCAAAAACTGCTCCCTCTGCAGCCTCGGTTTTGCTGTGTGCTGAGGCACCGTTGGTCTGAGTGTCACAGAGGGCCCCTCTTGAACCTCCACGCTGGGCACAGCTGAGGAGCTCAGGCCTCCTCTCCACCRATTCCTTGGATGTCACTGGGATCTTATTTAAGGCATCACACAGGCAAACTGCACTAATGCTTCAACCATGCCCACTTGTTCAGCTTAGGAGCGATGCCAGAACAGGCTGTGCCCCTCCTGACAAGGGGGGCAGGAGTCCCTCCTCTCAGCTTCCTCCAGAGCTGCTTTATTCACAGCTCGGCGAAGTGCCTGGCAAAAAGCAGCCCTCATCAGAGCACTGTCTGAAGGCACTTCAGGTGATTCAGAGCTCAAACTGCAATGGCAAGCACAACACAAATGAAAAAAACAGCTAGTTCCCTAGAAACAACAATGACAAAAAAAAAAAAAAAACCCTTTGTGAAGATTGAAGTCATTCCATTATACAAGCTGAAGAATAAAACTGAACAAAAGACAAGTGGTCTTCAAAATCTGCACGTTGTTTCCAATCTGCAGCAAAACAGCATCAGCATGAAGCCAGCCAGGGCCGCAGAAGCGAGCTCAGGRGCAGGCAGAAATCCAGGGAAGAAACACCAATCGGCATTGCTTGCACAGGAGAACCAGCACAGGGCTCAAAACTAACCATTCACCACCTCCTCCTCTGCTGCGACACAGCGAGACACCAAACACCCTCTCCAAGCAGAGCGCAAGACCCCCGGGCTTTAAGCAGCTGCCATGTGAACGACTGGCTCTTGCTCACACAGAGACCCCACAGAGAGCTCATTCCTTCTGAAACACCATTCGGGCTGTGGAAGAAACCAGGCTGCTCATCCCAGGTGGACTCCCAAGCCCGCCTTCCTGCGGCCGCCGTTCCGGCAGGGAGCTCCCGCCGCAGCCGGGCTGGGACAAAGCGCCGCTCGGCCCCGGCGCGATCCCAGGGCAATTTGGATCTCACCATTGCACCTTGTAGAGATGGACACAACATATACACAGACTATACACCCTCAGGAGCCCGGGGAAGGGGAGGGAGCATTGAGAACACAGCACAAGGCAGGCAGCAGGAGCATCTGCTTTCGGATTCCCAAAAGAGAGGAGGAGGAGAAGAAGAGAGAGAGGTTTCATATCATTAGATTAGAATGGAAACCACAGGGCAGGTAAATGCATTCAGATTTTTGTTTTCCTAGGGTGGAGGAAGAACCCAAGAGTGAGTGAGTGGCCTCCAGAAAGATCCATTTCCTTTGCTTCACCATCAGATCACCAAACTGCTTGTTTTTCCAGTATGTGAATACCAGGTGCTTCGTGCAGCTACACCCCACTCAAACACTGGGGCCTCCCATTTTCATGCTAAGCAGGAATAGTCTTGCATTTTTTTTAAACTATGAATTATTTAGGATAGAGAAGGATACAAAGATACCACAAAATCATTCTTTGGGTGTTTTCTTATTCTGTTCAGATTCTGCCCCATCCCTTACATAAACAGCTATCAGTTTTGCAACTACTTTTCGCTGTTAGTTGACAAAAAAGCAGTAGAAAACTGTGTTGTCAAAAACTGTAAGACCATCTCTTTGGATTGTTTTCTTTTTCATAGAGTTCAGAATAAAATTCTCATTTTATAGAGTTCAGAATAAACTCATTTTATAGAGTTCAGAATAAAATTCTTTGAGGAACTCTTCAGCAACAAGTTTTGTTTTAACTGAAAACCAGAAACCTTGGTCTTTAACAATTGCACAAAATGTAATTTTCATAGTCATAAAACAAGTCTTCACAAAAAGCCCCCAGTGTTTGTATAGCCTAGAAGGAAAAGGGCAGCTGTGGGTGTTTAACACAGGGCGATATGGATGAAAGAGTATGAATATATGGGGAGAAGAAAACACTGTGCTGGAAAGCACAGATATGGAGAGGGATGAGGGATAGAGCTCCATGTTTTTGTCAGGCCAGTTATTTTTGTTGTTCATTTTGCAATTACTTTCAAAACGCAGAGATTTACTAGAGACCAGAGGCTATTCCCAATGGCAAACAGGAATAACCAAAATCAGGACATTCACAGATAGCTCTGGCCTATAAATTTGTCAGGAAAGAGCAGAATAAATATCCCAGAATCACAGAAGGGTTGAGGTTGGAAGGGATCTTGAGATCGTCCAGTCCAACCCCCTTGCTCAAGCAGGGACAAGCATCTACAAACTCATCTGCTTGTTCTGGTAAATCCTATAGATTCTTGGCCAAAAGGAAGTAAAATCCTTAAACTAAGACATACAGACATGTATTTCTTCATATTACTATTATTATAGAAAAAAAAAAGTATTAGACACATCTGAAGGATAGGGGAAAGTGCTAAATCTCACTTCCTATGCACATACACCAACTGCTTTCTGGTTTCCAGATAATACAGAGACTGAAGAGGTTCAGAATCCACCTTTGGTTACACCAGGGAGGATTTGCAGAGGGCTCTGAACATGAACACACTCTGTAAGTCATGTTGAAGCAAAGAGGCCACCTGAAGACAGTGAACCTCAAATCCAAGGGAAAGGCAGAGACTCTACAATGAAGCTGCTTAGCTGAATTGCAACATCAAAATCTCATGTGTGCATGCACACATGTGTGCACACGTGTGTGGGGGTAGTAGGGAAATTTTGTTTTAATTGAAAATGGGAATCTTAGCATTGATTAAGTCAAGCAGAGTATAGACATGCACTGTGCAAGCTTCCCCCATAGAGCTTTGGCAATGCACCTTGCTCCTGACCTGCAAAACTCCCTGCTATTCCAGTGCTGAACCTCCTGGGCAGAGAGAGAATCACATCCATTTGTCATTGTGGTGATATTGGTTATGTGAGGAGAACCAATTGCCAATTAGGATAAAGATCACTGCATCTCTCTGCATTTGACCTAAGCAACATTTGAAATCTCTTCTCTAGAGAAATAAATTACCATTAACACTCAGCAAAACCTCCCTCTTGGCATATCTTTAGAACAAAAATAGGTGTGCAAATGTAACTGCAACGGGGAGAGGTCTGTGTGGGGCAGGACAGGGAGAATGAAGATTCTTTAATTAATTATGAAATATCTCAGACATGAAAGGTCAGTATCTCAGAAACACTCAAGAATTTTGCAAATGAGAGTTAAAAAAAACCCTTCCATATATGAGATGTTATAGTCTCTAATTAAAAATGTGTTTGGGGGGGTGGATGTTTTTAAGCTCCCATCACACCAAGCTGCTTTACCTTATTTTGCCTTCCCCACAGGACAGCCCATTGCCAGTGCAATGGGCACTAACTGGTATGAAGGCCCAGGTAGCTCCCTATTTATTAAAAGGGCTGGGAAACCTGATCCCATTTTACAGACAGGACTGTCCAGGAGCATGTGGACATTTTGTCCCGAAATGACCCTGCTCATCTGGGTCTTGAATCAGAAGGAACAGGAGACAGTCCCCAAATGGCCCTTCCCTTCCCCCCCCCCCACACTAACTCCTGCCCAGCTCTACAGAGATTTTCTCCGGGCAATGATCTGCCTTTTATTTTGTGCAATCAAAACAAGAGAAGTGGGTACAGAAACAGGACTTACCTTGGAGCCACGCTCATTAAAGATGATCTCTACATCAAGGATTTTGCCAAATTGCTGTAAAGACACAAGTTTAAAAAAAAATTTATTTTTGGTGATCCATTTTTTTTACTTTTGGGGGCTGGCTTAGTGGAAGAAGAGAGGTGAGAATATTTCCATTTCTAGCCTACAGTCAGAGGCATAAAATTCTAGCAACATGACCCAGTTCTCTCAGGTTAGGGCATGCAGATTCTCCTAGTCACAGAATCCAGGTTTTCTCACAAAAGTTTAAGAAATAAAAACAATATCCAGAATGGTTTTAGAAACAAACTGGCTATATTTTTGTCCCTTAATTTAAGTAAAATCTCCTTTCTTCCTCTGTGAAGCACATGTACAGAGGAGTCTTAATTTTAGAGATATATATTTTTCTCAAACAAGTTGTATGTCTGAATAGTTTTCCCACTTCCTTTGCAAACAGCTTCCATCCACCTCATTTTAATCTCATTCCTTGAAGTAGTTTTAAGGTAGGTAGCAAATGAAAGATGGTAAAAATGCAAAGGTGATGCTTTCACAGTTAGGGAAGTTGCTGAGCACAGCCCCTGGACGTGTGATTCTAAGACACTGCCACAACGTTCTTAATATGATGCTTGGCCAATTGTTTAAATTAACATTCCCACATGGAGTCAAATGCATATGTTGCTCTTTTCTCAAGTGCCCTCCTTGAAAGACTTGTGTCCAGACTTGCATATGTGTCAGTAAACTAAGATGACCGAAGAAAAGCTTTGAATATGTAAAGCAATACAAATCTATTAAGGCCCCACTTGACAAGTATTCCGTGTCTGTCTGCATACAAAATGCCTGCAACAATTCCAGCCATAGCCTGTCTGCTTCCCTTCTTCACTCTTAAAAAGGAGATAGTGCTGTTTAATGAACAATGGCTCACAGATGTTGCTTTTATTGTTGCATTGTTCGAGGACAATACTCTGTCTTCTATTTATCTCCAGAACAACTGAGCGCACAGTATCTGATGCTCCGTGAAGTCTGAACAAGACTGACGGAAACACCAGCAGTGACTGCACCTCCAACACCCAGCAACTGGGCAGCAACTGGCCACGCTGGGCCCTTTGGCACCACTGCTTTGCAGAGCACGGCTGAAACACCTTCTGTGTCTGGCTCGGATACTGCACGCTTGGTAGGGACTGGCCTCTTACAGCCCCTGGGCACTGGCTGCTTTGCGTTATCTCCGTGGCATTTGGCCTGGAAAGATCTCAGCCACGAGCCTCCCTGGGCAGACGGTTTCACACTGCAGTTCTGTAACTCACTGCTCCTCTTCCCTCCTGCCTGGGCTCACCGCGACGGCCCCAGTTTTCATTCGGACCTGTAGGTAAACTGATAGAGCTCCATCTTGGAGAGAACTGCACACACAAACATGAAAAAAAAACAAAGAAGATTTTGATGGTTTTATGATCTGTATCAGCTCAAGAGGTCCGGTGAGTGCCAGGGCAGCTGGAAGCGGGGAGAGGGGAAAGGAGCACTCTCCCTTAGGGCAGGATCTGACCCAGCCCAATTAATCCAGCTAACTAGCTTTGCCAGACACCTGCTCTTGATAAACGCCAATCCCTAAATTATTTTAGAATCTTCAGAACCATCCAAAAAATCACCATTTTCTTCACTATTCTGATTTTAAAAGAGAACAAACTGTGCAGCTTCTGGTGTGCAGTTCTGCCTTGCCACCTTCTCCTCTCTCCATGCCCAGCTGGGCCYGGGTACCCAGCAGTACTGCCAGAGCTGCTCGCCAGCCCCCCTCAGCTGAGCTCCCTGCCTGGGGCTTCAACCTCAACAGCAAATCCTGTCCTGGGTGTCATTTCTTCAGGCTGGGACAAGATTCTTCAGGTTGAAGACAAGAGGTCTGACCCAGCTCTGCGAGAAAGGGTAGCAGAGGCTCCTCGCCCTCCCTGTGGGTGGATTTATGCAACTTCCTAAGTGAGAGAATTCAGGTCAAACACCCCTTGCAGTCTTCTGCAGTAGACTAGAGTCACTGGTGTGGTTTGCCACATCTCTTTCCTACTTAAGAGCYGGGGATTTTCAAGGAGCCAGGAAACTGCTTAGGAGAGAAGGAAGAGGGACAGCAGTGAGGCCAACTGCTGTTTGCTGGGGACAATCGGGGACAGGAGGGACCACTCTCCCATGCAACTCCCTGGAGGAAAAACCAAATCCAAGCAGGACAAAACCACACAGAGGAGGTGGCAGGGGAAGCACCCTGGGCTCCTCAAGCCTCTGCTAGTCATTACTACAGGTGCCCTCCAACAGCTCCCAACACCACGCGGCTCGTCCTGGCTGCGGCAGCAGTTGCAGCAGGTCCAGCACTGGCAGCACGTTCTTTTGGTAGCGTGCCAAAATTATTGCCCTGAAGAATGAAAGCAGGGAAAAAAAATAACTAGTTCATTTTAACAGTTTATATCTCCTTCAAAGCTGAATCTAATTTAGTGGAACATAAAAAGGCACTTTGTTCTCTGATGGYGCTTCCCCTATCAGATGTCAACAGCCTACTGAAAACAATGGAAGTTTTCAGAGTTCCTTGGCAAAAGGTCACAAATTTTACAATATAAAATGCCAGGCCATCTAAATATAAGAGTCAACATCAAGCGCCCCCCATAGATTTTTCTAATTCACATATACCTACATGCTGGTGCTTTCCAGTAGACAGAGGGTATAGCTGAATATAACATGACCCRTGGTCAGACCATCCTCAAGGACTAACTCGCTGATCTCTGACCTTGAACATATGGATCCCTGTGCTCACGGGGATTCTTTCACTCAGTGATTGCCATAAATATCATTTTACCAAAATCCCAGGAGAGCAGCTGTGAAAAAAACAAACCCTGGGCAGAGCTCACAGCCTCTGAGGAAAGCACTGCAGCACYACCCATCTCAGCTGCTCCCCACCATGGCTTAAAAGCCTATGATCTGACCAAGGGGCCAGAATCCCCTACCACATGGCAGCTCAAGCAAACAGCTCCTTCCATCAACTGGTTGTGCACCCAACATATGAGGTGTGTGTGTGTGTTTGGGGGGAGTGCACAGGCACCTATACTTCCAGTAATGCCATAACAAAGGAACTACAGAATCCAGCTTTATGCCAGTTCTCCACTTCAAGAAGTGAAGTGACTTTGTGTCAGCTTTCAGTCATTATCCTGTAATACAGAAAAATCGTGGCCATTACAATGGCAYTGTTAGAACAGTGACTATTAGAAATATCGGTTCCAAGAGACATAAAGATACTAACAAACAACAGCAAAGACCAAAACCCAGTCTTCTTGCCTGAACATGATGTACCTTATCTTGTATAAAGGGATATTGTGCAAGCAGGCTCACGCGTGATGTGTTTCTTTCCACTCAGATGACACGAAGACAACAGATTTTTCCAGCAGAGGCCATAACTAACATGTAATAAATTTGAAAGAACTGGCACCATGGTGATTTTGCCTTCCAAGACACTGACAGTTTGGTAGGGCCCTTCCTGTGTGTTCTGTTCCAGCTGGCCCTGCCTCATCTCCCTGCCTAGAGCTTTCAAAATCAGCTCCAAGACAAGTAACTTAACCCTAAAAATGCCAACAACAGGGACTATGATGCACATTCTCTAGAAGTCATGGAACAACAAAAGGCAACTTGAGCTACCGCTCCACAGCCTCGCATCCTTATAACGGGACTTGGTGCCTCCACGCAGCTTCTGACTGTTCCTACAAAACTCACTGCAATCCGCACACACCTGCAAGACACCAAATAGTGTCACTCAAAGACAGGCTCAGTTCCACCAGAAATTTAAAACAGCCAAGAGAGCGTCCTCAATTACAGGTCCTCAAATGTGAAGCCTGTGGGCAAGAGCATCTCATAGGCAAGAGAGATCCACACTGCAGAGAGCACCCGTGGCCAAGCTCCTGGGGTCGACCTGCTCTCCAGGACGCCTGGCACCCCACCAGCATGAGTTGGTGTTTGGTTCTGGGAGCGTGGAGTCAACCAGGGCTGGACAGCAGCTCAGCCCCAGAGCAGTTCAGCACTGCCAAAGCAGGCTCACCTGGAGCTGGATCACCCTTTCACACGGGGTGATGCTAGAAATCACGTGGGTGAAACACATCAAGGTAATAGCAGTGCCTCTGCTGACTGCAATCAACAGTAATATCAACAGGAACAAAGTCCTCCCACGCCACAGGGATGAAGTTGTCTTTCGTGAGCTCTCTCTTRCCACAGGAAAAACAAGGAAGTAAAAGATTTGTCACAAAGAGGCCACCTTTTGTCCAAGCGCTGGTTCTCCTATTTGGCATTTAAGAGTTGTTATGTGTAATCTGTGGCAGGTACAATTAGCCTGCGATGAAACAGAGACAAAATAGGTCTGTATATCCAGAAGACAGGAGCTCTTCCTTCAAATTGCCTGGCCAGTCAAAAGAGCAACCTAAAAAAGGCCCTTTAAACCCCTTTGGGCATCTTTCCCTTTCTCTGCTTTAGCAGTGCTTTCCCTTCTGCACTGTAGCAAGACTTAAATTCTAAGGTATTTCTGCCGTATAATTTACCTGCCTAACCTGCAATACTTACATACCACAAAAAAGTAGTAAAAAAATAAAATAAAAAAACACTACCAACCAAGCTGCTGATATTCCCAGCAGCCATAGGTCACGGTTATGATGTGAGCATGTCACAAAAAGGCAGTGCCTCCATCTGAAGACAGATCTCAGGAGAATTCACGCCTCTCCTCCGCTATCCCTCCCTCCAGCCAGCGTTCCTCATTTATATCTTACATAATCTTCTTCTGTAAGGACAGCTGATGACTCTTGAGAAGTGTTTCGCCGGGGTAAATTTGACAAAAATCAATTCTGACTCTGTGTATGGTGGCCCTCACAGCAAATAAGAAGGGCTTAATACACTAAGAGCCACCAAAACAACCCACTTTGCCTGTTTGTGCAGAGACAATGAGGCATCCTGCTCGAGGRCAGATGGATATGCCCGGCCAGGCAGCCCAATCCCAGCACCAGATTCCTCAGGAGACTCTGAAATCCATCAGAGCTGACCAGAGCACCTCAGCC